TATTATGGATACAAACAATTCAAGGGGAAAGGCAGCTAAATGCTTCACAAAAATTGTGACCTAAATTGCACAGAGAAGGAAAAAGATGAACAGACTTGAACATTAAAAACATTACAAATTAAAGTATATAATGAGATTATCTTGGAAAATAGATTATCTTCCCTTTCTGCTAGAAATAGCAAAAAACTATTACATGTTTTTTTCTTCTCTTCCCCAATTGCATTTTTAATTAGCATAACTTCTAATAGTATGTATGAAAAAAATTCTAAGCCAGAAGTACTTAAATGATCTTGTTCTTTATAACTCTTTTTGGATAACTCAGTGACAAAAAATAAAAAAAGAGAGATGTTTACTTTCTGACTAGAAAGATTCATGAAACAGGTACAATCATCAGGGCTTAAACTGAGATGACCCAGCAAAAATCTGTCATAACCTCAGCTACAAGTCTCCCTTCTCCCGAGAAGGGGGCTGGGGGTAGAATACAAGATTCCAGTGATATTCAACAGCCCAGATAGGAATGGAGTGAGTCACGATGTGCTGTAAAGGCTGGAGTGGTCCCAACTTCAGTAACAGCTAGAAACAGCCGGCCCCAAATCAGGCAGAACATTCAAATCTTCAGTGACAAAGAGGAAATAAAGTCCAAGCTTCTAAAACACGTAACGGCAAGTCCAGGAACGTGGCCGAACATAATCCAGAAATGTAGGCTATGATGTGGAAAAAGAAAAGAAAAATGGTTATTTGTGTTCACTGTGTCTGAGGTACAGGATAGGCAGAGGTGTTAATATTATATATGGTACATCTGGAGGCTGCCTCTTAACATGTCAGTAATCTTTAAGTTATAAGAAGCTCACTAATCCAAAAGATGCTCAGTATTCTTACATATGCACCAATTATTCAATTTCAAGGCTTCCCATAAAGTTTTTGAAGTTTAGTAAACTAAATAATTGCGTGGACTACTGACCAAATTCAAATAGGTACTGTCTGTTGGCAGCTTGTCTTCCTATTTTAGCACAACCCTAAAATCAAAATAGTGGTAGGATAAGGTTGATAAAGTATGTACACAAATGACTGTAACATGAGATTTTAGATTACTGAACTACTTAAAGGAGAAGCAGATAAAGTACAAAGTTCAGAAATAGAAAAGATGGAAGCAAGAATTTTTAAAAAGCATCATAGAAAATGCAGCATCCAAATTGGATTTGATGACATGTGGAATGTGAGCACGAAGAAGAGCATGATTAGCTGGGCACAGTGGTGCATAACTGTAATTCCAGCACTTGGGGAGGCTGAGGCACGAGGGTCACAAGTTCAAGCCCACCCTGGGGAACTTAGCAAGCCTTTTTCTCAAAATAAAAGGGATAAAGATATAGTTCAATGCAAAGGCCCTGAGGTCAATCCCCAGTACTACCCCCCACAAAAAAGGGAGAAAGCAGCATGAGCATGGATGAGTCCAAACTCAGTTCAGATGCACAAAGGGATCATTAGAAAATAAGGGAGAATTAAAGCTACATAACAAAGACTGGTTACAGAGAAAGAAGAAAATTATAGGAAGAATCTGAACAATCTGATCTTCAATTATAAGCACCAGGAAGAAATACACAATCAGATATATCAAGAAGGTACCCTTACCCCTCAAATTTGGGAGTTTTCTATACACAGCTAAAAACCAAAGCTCTAAGAATAAGTGAAACCTAAACATAATTACAAAAAAAAAAAAAAAAAAAAAAAAAAAAAAAAGCAAAACAATAAGAATCAAGGGGGATGGAATCCTACCCCTATCAATGTTGTCTGACAATTTTACAAGAGTTTACTGTTTGGGGAAAAATAGTGAAATATATACGTATGTTTAGGTACTACTGGAAAAACCCTGGACAGTACCTAGATTTTCAGGTGACAGGAAGAAACTAGAAAAGGTTCAAGAAAAAGCTGAAAAGGAATAAGAAAGAAAACCAAGAACTAGGGTCAGTTCAAGTTAAAGCAAAGAAAGGAGAAATTTCAAGGAAAGCAAAATAACATTACAGAATAAACTTTTTACATCACATTTACATCCTTTTGCCAAATTCATCATAATCTCCCTATTAGCCTCCTTAATATTGCCCACGAACCACATTGAGGGACAAGTAAGTCTGCATTCCAGTTGAATTTATTGACTCACATTTTTCAGAGGACAGTGTTGACGTGCATACCATTCTTGAGAATAAAAACAAACAAGTACTCCCTGGCCCAAGAAAAGGGAAGCCCACATCATAATGTTCCAAATTGGCCTTTTCCAATTATCATTGATAATGAAGTTTAAAGCCACTAGATAGAAGGGAAAGAAAAACAGATAGTTATCAAAACATAATCCATAAGATGAAAGCCCTCAATTATCTACTATCATCATTCAATCATCACAGTGAACACCAAATGTTTATATATATGTTTTATTCTTAACATTCTGTTTTTTGTTTTTGTTTTTCAAGTACTGAGGATTGAACCCAGGGGCTAGTACATGCTAGCCAAGCACAGTGTCACTGACCACATCCCTAGCCCTGGATGCTGGTCGTATAAATGAAAATGAAGATTCACTGTTGAAATTATCAATCAGTACTTAATAGAAAATCAATGGAACAAGTAACAATACATTTCAAGAATTATTCACATTCTGGGCTGGGGATTTAGCTCAGCGGTTTGGTGGCCTGCCTTGCAAGCGCCAAGACCCGAGTTCACTCCCAGGTACAAAAAAAAGAATTATTCACATTCTAACTTAATCCTCTCTGCCTCTTCAAAAATGGTCAGTTTGGGCCAAGGATTTAGCTCAGTGGTTCTGCTGCCTGCTTCCCAAGCGCAAGGTCCTGAATTCAATCCCAGTACCAAATTTTAAAAAAAGGACAAAAATGGTCAGTTTTCCAGAAATACACACTGCTGGTGTTTATGAGTGGGGAAGTTGTTTATACAGACAGGCTTCACATTCTATCAAATCAGTGTTATCAATGGTCAAGAGGTTTCCTAGTTCATTTTCTCACTTCAAATTATAAACATCTTGAGGCAGTTGTATGTAATTATTCTAAGCCAACAGTCTAACCATGTGGTACACATGCACTGCCTTGCAATGGTATTACTACAATCTAGCTTTTGTACATTGATTTTAGTTTCTTTTTGTCTGTTAACATTAACACCCGGGACTCACAGCATATCAAGGTACTTACTTCCAAAGAACATGAAGAGCACAAAGAGGACTGGATAGAAGTAGCTCAAGCAAACAGCTAGGGCATATTCATGAACCACAGCAGACAAAGCGAAGACAACAAACATGGCAGCAGCTTTGAATCTCTTTGAAAAAAACTAAGGTAATAAGAAAATATAAAAAAAATTTTAAATTTTAAGTAATTCAGCATTAAGTAATTAAGACATGATTATCACGTGAAAGGTATTTACTTAATTATATTTATGCTTGACTTTTCAAGTCTACTCGTTGGATTAATCCAAATCTATTAAAATAACTGCGAAAGACATATGCTCATAAACATGTTTGGCATTTTCCAAAATATTTATTAATGGTCAAAGATTTGTGTGTATTTTCAAAAACATTAATTTTTTTTAACCAGGGATCAAACACAGACTTCTGTGCTTGTGAAGTAGGCAAGGTACCTCTAAGCTAAATCCCCAGCCCTCAAAAACATTAATTTTTAATTAATTGAGATTCTATTTATGTTACTATGGTTGACAAGACATAGTTTTCATATATAAAAAAAAAATCAAATTTTAATCTTCAGGGTGACACTGCATGACAGATAGGGAAGGTATCCTTACCAAACATAAGATTTAGAAAGAAGAGACTTGTCTCACCTGTATGTGAAACTTTACTTATAAATGATAGAACTAGCAGTCACATACACTGTTGTTTCCACCACAAGACTCTATCCCTTAGCCATACGATGCCCTTAACAATAAAATCTATAATCCAAAGAGCTGGAGATTTAGCTCAGTGGTTCTGCCGCCTGCCTCGCAAATGCAAGGACCTGGGTTCGATCCCCAGTACCAAAAAAATAATAATCCAGAGATACGAGCATCAACAAGGACAGTTAAGATCACTCTAAATACATTCTGCTCTGAAAACAAATGTAACTGATTAGAAAGATGTAAATCCAAACACAGGTATTTCTCCACTTTTAACAAAAACACATGAGGGCCAGGGATTTAGCTCAGCGGTTTGGTGGCCTGCCTTGCAAGTGCAAAGACCCGAGTTCAATCCCCAGTACCAAAAGAAAAAAAAACACATGAAAAAAACTACAAGAAGATTATGTGTTGACTATAAGATTCATAAGAAATAATCCATTACTAGTGGATCATTTCAACTCCTCCAAAGACCTTCAAGAAATCTTACTTTGTAATTATGTAGAATAAGCAAAAACATGGTATTATGTAATTACTACTATAAATACTGGTTTCCATGTTATTCAAAGCAGAAGGGTTCTTAGATACAAAACTGAAGACAGGAATCTATTGTATCACCCATTTATCGGAGGAATTAAGTGTGATTTCTTCCAGTTTGCACAATACCAAAACTTCCTTGAAAAGAATATACACTTCTTAAATAACATCAACTGAATCTTGCTGCTTACCCAAAGAAGGTCCTTATAAGCATAGTAGTATAGCCAGTCATGGACCACTACATTCCAGGTTCTATAATAGTTAGCGTATGATGTAGAATTCCACCAATCCTGAAGAAAAAAAGAAATGGCATAAAACTACACACATTCCCAAAGCAAATCCTTGAGAATATTCCTGAGAACATATACAGATGACATAGACCGCAGAGTGTTTTGTTATAAATTGTTAGTCCATATAATGATGTCAGAAAAACCTTTACTTTTATTAGATTATTGAATTACATTTAAAATTGTGGGGGAAAAAAAAAAGAAAAACCTTTAACACATTTCTGCTGACTTGAAGGTCCTGTGGTGACTTGAACCACCCATTGCACATGACTGCCCCATCAGGCAGACTGTAGCACTGGTGGTACATATATGACCAATAAAGTGATTAGATGTTTGAACCACTGGTGGTACAAGCTGCCAGATGGGACAGTTATGCATGCACCACCAGTAGAAACATAATACATAAAAATCAGGGCCACCAAGAGTGCAGACTGGTGCAACCACTATGGAAATCAATATGGAGATACCTCAAAGAAGTAGGATTAGAGGTTCCATTTGATCCCAGCCATCCCTCTGCTGGGTATCTTTCCAAAAGAATTAAAAGAATCATAACACAGTGATATATGTGCACCTATGCTTATAGCAGCACAGTTTGTAATAGCTAAAACTTGGAACAGCCCATTTGCCCATCAGTTGGAGACTAGTAAAAAAAACACATGAAAAAAACTACAAGAAGATTATGTGTTGACTATAAGATTCATAAGAAATAATCCATTACTAGTGGATCATTTCAACTCCTCCAAAGACCTTCAAGAAATCTTACTTTGTAATTATGTAGAATAAGCAAAAACATGGTATTATGTAATTACTACTATAAATACTGGTTTCCATGTTATTCAAAGCAGAAGGGTTCTTAGATACAAAACTGAAGACAGGAATCTATTGTATCACCCATTTATCGGAGGAATTAAGTGTGATTTCTTCCAGTTTGCACAATACCAAAACTTCCTTGAAAAGAATATACACTTCTTAAATAACATCAACTGAATCTTGCTGCTTACCCAAAGAAGGTCCTTATAAGCATAGTAGTATAGCCAGTCATGGACCACTACATTCCAGGTTCTATAATAGTTAGCGTATGATGTAGAATTCCACCAATCCTGAAGAAAAAAAGAAATGGCATAAAACTACACACATTCCCAAAGCAAATCCTTGAGAATATTCCTGAGAACATATACAGATGACATAGACCGCAGAGTGTTTTGTTATAAATTGTTAGTCCATATAATGATGTCAGAAAAACCTTTACTTTTATTAGATTATTGAATTACATTTAAAATTGTGGGGGAAAAAAAAAAGAAAAACCTTTAACACATTTCTGCTGACTTGAAGGTCCTGTGGTGACTTGAACCACCCATTGCACATGACTGCCCCATCAGGCAGACTGTAGCACTGGTGGTACATATATGACCAATGAAGTGATTAGATGTTTGAACCACTGGTGGTACAAGCTGCCAGATGGGACAGTTATGCATGCACCACCAGTAGAAACATAATACATAAAAATCAGGGCCACCAAGAGTGCAGACTGGTGCAACCACTATGGAAATCAATATGGAGATACCTCAAAGAAGTAGGATTAGAGGTTCCATTTGATCCCAGCCATCCCTCTGCTGGGTATCTTTCCAAAAGAATTAAAAGAATCATAACACAGTGATATATGTGCACCTATGCTTATAGCAGCACAGTTTGTAATAGCTAAAACTTGGAACAGCCCATTTGCCCATCAGTTGGAGACTAGATAAAGATGTATTTATTCTATAAAATGTAATACTACTCAGCCATAAAGAATGAGAAATTTGGGGTCAGGGATTTAGCCCAGCGGTTCGGTGGCCTGCCTTGCAAGTGCAAGGACCCGAGTTCAATCCCCAGTAGCAAAAAAAAAAAGAGAAATTAGAGACATTCATAGGAAAATGGGTACATATTGAGGATACACTTGTCACACATGTATAAATACCACATAGTTTCTCTGGTGTGAATAACTACAATGGTACATAAGATCCTAATGATATAATTGACAATGCGAAGTAGGAAGAAAAGCGCTAAAGGTGTAGGGGAAATGGGAAAGGTAGGGAAAAGGTAATAAGGGAAAAGGAAAAAAAACATGAGAAAATGAAAAAATGGAAATAAAGTATTTGTAAATAGGGAAGGAAGGAGGGGGTGAAGGGAGCGCAGGAATAAGGGGAAAAAATGATAACCAAGACCTGTCATGTAAAGGTACAAGATCCCAAAGATGAATGTAACTGTACTGTACACCTAAAATGTACCAATAAACTCAATGAGAAAAAAAAAAATTCAGAGCCACCAGCCACCAAGCAGCAAGACATGAATTATGGCCCCATCATGAACATGTTAAGGCATTCTGGCTGAGTATTCAATACATTATTTTAGTATTACATATGAATAAGTCCCTAGATTCACTCTGTCTCGTTATCAAATTATGATGAAAGATATAGAACATACAGAATTATTTAAATCTAATGTTCACCTAAACAACTGTCAGAAAACATTTTCCCAATCCTGCTAGAACATAATGAAAGACTCATAAGGTCATGGAGACTACATCAAGTGCTACCACTAAAGGGCTGTTGGATGGTATCATAAATATTAAGAATCAATTATACAGGAATAAGATGGTAGCCACCTCCAACTTCTACTGTCTCTTTCTATATTCCTTGTTCCAAATTTTAAGATCAGACTAATAGAATTAGACATAAAATTTGCAACTCATACTTAAGTGCTTCTCTGAGTGACATATTTGGGAAGTTGTCCAAATAACAAAACTTGAGCCAGGCTGTAGGGAGTGTTGTAGAACACTGTGAGCCACACTCTGGCTCTACTCTACAGCTCCATTCTGACTTCAGACATAGAAGACCACTGTTTTGAACAGAATTAATACCTCTCAAAATAAAGGAGGAAAAAGGTATTTCCCTCATGAATTGCTCAATAGTCTTAAGTGGATTAATTTGCTAAGGTCACTTTTAGCAGACAGCCAATTCCAAATCAATGAGCAGTCAGTCAGAGAAGTCCCATGATACCTGCTGGACAAATGGTTTCCTACCTTAGTCACTGATATATCCTCACAGGATCCGGCAGAAACCGTATGCTATTAAGAAGCAGGCATTAAAGGCAGAAGCAAAGGTGAAGCTAATTATATTTCAGAGTTGGTATCATTTATATTTGTGGAAAAGAAAATTATTTCACAATGTTTGTATCAAAATGCTGGTAATATCAGTCGACAATGCTTAAATATTTAACAATGAAGAAATAAGTAAAATCTAAAAAAGAAAGATGAGTCCAAGGATATATACCTTATAAAACATCCTGTCCCCAAATCGTAACATCTCAGCAAAGGCATTGAGCCAGCAGTGCAAAAAAGCAAAAAAAGAAAGAAGGAATATCAGCACACCTAAAAAAAGATTAACAATATGAAAAGTCTTTTCAAATAGCTTACATACCAAGCCATTAGTTACATGTCATCCTTTGTTTAGCTGGTATAAAATATAAATTTTAGAGTTTACCCATTTGAAAGATGATACATTTTTGTAAGTAATTTTTAAAAAATACGTTCCAAATACTCCATGCCTTACAGCATTCCACTATTTAAAAGTTCTTGCTATCACTTATATATGCCAGGCAAATGCCTATTTTTCAATATTCAGTGTTAAATATCATCTCTATGAAATGAAGCCCATAAGCACTTTGATTTATATACATTGTAAGTATATTGTGAAATGTCCATTTATACATCTACTTCTTTCATTCGCTTATTCAAAAAAGATTTATAGAGTACCTACTGTGTGCCAGAGAATATGGGATAGAGTGTAACCTGCTTTAAGACACAACCCTTGATCTCAAGGAAATTTGCTGCTAATTGAGAAAGACAAAGACATCCAAGTATGTAATATACATCCCACTACAGGGACAGATAACAGATAAGGTTTACTGGAAGAAGTCTAAGAGAAAGAGGAAGAATCACAACAAAGCATCACCAACATTACTAAAGAGGAAGAGTTAAGTCAGAGAAATTATAAGATGCAAGCTCCCACAGAAGACTGTGTATGTCTCGTGTGCTACTGAGTCTTCAGCACCTAGTAATCAATGGTATTAAGAGAGGAAGTATGGGTGAAAGACAGGAAAGATAATAAATAGTGACAAGTGAAATTTCAAAATGTGATCAGAGCATCCAGTGCTTCATGGAGGTCAAACTGGATATGGGCTAAATCACCTACTCAGTTTAGAATCAGGTTATTAGTGATTTTAACAGTGTATTTCAGTGGCCTGGTAAGATAAGAGCAAGATTATAGTGAAGTGAATAGTGAAAGGATAAAGGGGCCAAAGGAAAATGGCAGAGTGGTAGCCATTAACTCAGCTTCTGAGATTTGGAATTCAGATAACGGAAAATAACAACTTGAAGATGAAAAAATAGAGAAGTAGATCCCTGTGAACCAGAAAGGATCTGACAGGAAAATTAAAGCCCACAGAGAAATTGAAGAGACAGAACACAATGTGAAGAATGAAATGAAAGGGGCAGTCTGCACTTCCTTCCTGGCTCCCAGCTCATGGCTTGTGGGAAAGAGAAACCAAGTCTAGAGACAACGTGAAAGCAGGGGACTTCAGAGGGGTTCAGGGAGAAACGTGCAGGATTCTGCTCCCAAGTGAGCCCTTTGATAGGCAACACCTGATAAATGTCTCTAGCACAAACACCCACCATATCCCTGGAGACAGCGCTTGGTTGGATGTCACTTTAGGGAAGGGTTTATTGTTAGAACCTTAATTTCAGGGATCCCACTGTTACATTTCCACGATAGCTGGGTGAGAGACAGCCAGAGGAGACAGCTGTGGTCAGGCTGGAAAGAAATCCCCTGAGGGGTTTGAGCTAAAGGACACAGGCCTCATGCCCAATAGCTGAGTCTCTGGATTTGAAAGTCATGGTACTGGCAAGTGGTAAGTATATGTATTGTTTGTGTTTTTTATTTTTGTTCTTTCCTTTCCTACTTTCTTCTTCACCAGTGTATTGGGGTTTGGGGAATTCTCCTTTGTCCTTGCTTGCTTATCTCTTTATCTTGTATTTTTAAAATTTTATCTTTCCTTTTTAATTCTTCTACCTTTAACATTTTTCTCTCATTTGTATCCCAATATAATTTTTCTCCCGCTTTTTATCTTCTATCTTAATCAGTTTTTTTTTCTTATCTTTACCTAATTCTAATTCTATAAACATCCTTCAACATCCCAATAGGATCCTTTATACCACTTCTCTCTCCTTGTTCTCATATCATATAGTTTAGGGTTTCAAATGTTCCTCCTGCATTACCCCATTCCAAAATTACTCTATAAAATTATTGCTAAGCTGGGTGTGGTGGTGCATACCTGTAATCCTAGCACTTGGGAGGATGAGGCAGGAGGATCACACTGTGAGTTTGAGACCAGCCTGGACTACACAATGAGTTCCAGGTCAGTCTCAACTACATAGTGAGACCCTGTCTCAAAAAAAAAAAAAAAAAATGCTGAATTCATTTCTATCATTAGCCAGAGATACAGCAGTCACATTGGAAACATATTAGCTTTAAGTCAATACCTGGGTTTTTAAAATGTTTATATTTGTGGCTTTCTTCTCTATAGTTAAGAGTGATACACAACTGGTTCTTATGGTATATGAATATCCAATTTTCCCTGGACAATACTACTGTAACTGATTTGCTTGCTATTACCAGGGTCACATAATTTTTGCTATTTCTATGTAAAGCAACACTCAGATTTACCACTGTGACAATAACAATCCTAGAGTACACTCCCAGAGAATTCTGTGAAGAGCTAATTATACTCTTTCTTTCCTTTTCAAATTAACCAAGGTGATCAGATCTTGGGGCTGAGGCAAAGGACCATCATTTGCAATACACAAAATACATCAATGAAAAGTATCTAAAGAGTTCTCCATATTAGCAACAAAGTCTTCATGTAATAAGCATCCCCAAACCTCCGCACAAAACAAAATGAAACAACAAAAAAAAAACCAGAAATAATAAAAATGTGAAGACAAGGCAACAAAATGCTTCCCCAAACTCTCAACTTCCCCAAAGCCAATTGAGTGGGAGGACGGCATAAGCCACATACTCAAATTATTCAAAAGAATAACAGGAGGTTAGAAAACAAATTAAAGAGAAACTCAGCAGGATCACAGAAGCTATCACTAAACAGACAAAAGAAGCAATACCCAAAACAATCCAAGAGCTTTCATAAGACACTAATAAAAAGCTAAACAAACCACAAGTGACCAGTTTAGCAAAGAATTAAGTCCAAGAAAAGATTTCAATCAGAAATCCAGGAAAATAAAAACTATACTGAAAGTATGGGCAGCAGAAGTGACCAATGTGAGAACAGAATTTCAAAACTAGAAGACAATGATGCTTTCAAGGCCAACTTTTCAGATACCTCAGTGGTTCCACGGCCTGCCTCACAAGTACAAGGTCCTGAGTTCAAACCCTCATACCAAAAAGAAAAAAATATATATATAAAAACAACAAGAAAACATGAAAATTGGATCCAACAGCTGCTAGATGATGAAAAGACTAATCTAAGGTAACTGGAATAACTGAAAAATCAGAAGATAATACAAATGTCATAAAAATTCTGTTCACAGAAATAATGGCAGAAAACATCCCAAATATAGGGAAAGAAATACACATACACATAAGGTCCATAGAATCCCAAATGACCACAACCAAAAGAGAAATTCTCTAAGAACTACAGGCCAATCTCTTTAATGAACATGCAAAAATCCTTAATAAGATTCTAGCAAACAGAATGCATCAAACCATCAAAAAGATCATATATCACTGACTAAGTAGGGCTCATTCCAGGAATGCAGGGATGGTCAACATATACAAACCAATATATATAATACACCACATAATCAGAAATAAGAATAAAACATATACAATCATCTCAATATATGCAGAAAAAGCAGATGACAAAGTCCAACATCCATCCATGATAAAAACTCTGAAGTATTTATCTCAATATGATAAAAAGCCAACTATCATAAACCAACAGCAAATATATTAAATGGAGAGAAGCCAATAGCTTTTCCTCTAAAATCAGAAACAAGAAAAGAATGTCCACTGTCACCACTATTTTCAAAACATTGGCTAGAACAGTCAGGCAAGAGAAAGAAATAAAAAGGATAAAAAGGATAAGGATAATAGAAAAGGAAGAAGTTAAATTATCATTATTTTCTACTGACGTGAATCTCTAAATAAAACACTGCAAAAACTCCAAAAGACTCCTAGAATTAATAACCGAATTCAGTAGCACAGGAAGACACAAAGTCAACACACGAAAATCAGTAACATTCCTATAAACCAATAATAAACTCATCAAGAAAGAAATTAGGGAAATAATGGGCTGGGGATTTAGCTCAGTGGTTCTGCCACCTGCCTCGCAAGGGCAAGGTCCTGAGTTCAATCCCTGGTACCAAAACAACAGAAACATTGTCTTGCATAATAGCACCAAAACAATGAAATACTCAGGAATTAACCTAACCAAGGAAGTGAAAAGCCTCTAGAATGAAAAATATAGCACTCTGAAAAAGGAGGTCAAAGAGGACATCCCAAAATGGAAAGATATCCCTGTTCCTGAATAAGCAGAATCAACATAATCAAAATGGCTATACTTAAAAAAAAAAAAGGCTATACTTCTAAAACTGTACAGAGATTTAATGCAATCTCACAATGGATCAAAGATCTAAATATTAAAACAAACACAATGTGGCGGAAGGCAAAATAGGTAAAACTCTTCAATATACATACGGGGGAAACAAAGGAAACCACCAACAGAGTGAAGACATAATCTTCAGAATGGGAAAACAATTTTGCCAGCTATACCTCAGGCAGAGGACTAATATTTAGAATATACAATGAGCCCCCAAAAATTAGATCCCCTCCCAAATTTAAAGACCCAATCAAAAAATGGGCATCTGACATGAATAGATACTTTTCAGATGAAGAAATGCAAATGGCCAATAAATACACTGAAAACATGTTCAATATTGCTGGCCAAATTAAAACAACACTGAGATTGTACCTTACTCCAGAAAGAATGGCTATCATCAAGAAATCAAAAAATAACAAATGCTAGAAAGGCTGTGGGGGAAAAAGAAACCCTTCTTTACTGCTGGTGGGAGTATAAACTGGTAAAACCAGCATATAAATCAGTGTGGAGCTTCCTCAAAAACTAAAATTAGAAATTACATTTGACCAAGCTATTTCTCTTCTAGGTATCTTCCCAAAAGAGTTAAAGACATCATATTTCAGTGATATCCATGTTTACAGCAGCACAATTCATAATAGCTAAATCTTGAAAGTAGCAAGTATGTCAATCAGATGAATAGGTAGTGAAAATACAGTATATATACATAATAGAGCATTACTTTGCCACAAAGAAGGATAAACTTGATTCATTTATAGGAAAATGAATACATCTTGAGACCATGTATTAAATGAAGCAAATCAGACATATAAGATTAAATATTGCAAAAAAAAATATACATTGCGTGGCTTCTCTTATTTGAGAAACGCAATATACAAAGAAAATGCAAAATAGGGCCGGGGATTTGGCTTGGTGATTCTGCCACCTGCCTCACAAGCGCAAGGTCCTAAGTTTGATCCCTGGTACCCCTCCCCCCAAAAAAAAGTACAAACTAAAAAACAGAAGGAAAAAAGACAACAAATGTTATTGTAATCCAACATGGCCAATGTATCTAAAAGTGTATCTTGATTTAGTATAATTGTCTTATGTGTTTCATATGTTTTTTTGGCCTATCAGTCTGGCTGTTAATCTGTGTTTTATCCTAATTAACTTGATAAAGATTTTAAAATAAATCTAATGCTGGCAAAAAATCTTTAGAAAAAAATGGCTGAAAGGGAAGGGGAGGGACTGAGATACATTACGCTTGTGTCCCAATTCCTCAGGATGAAGGTAATCATTATGCACTGCAAACATACTCATAAAAGGGCGGGGCTGCAGCTCAGTGATGCTAAGCCTCCACGGCAAGTGCAAAGTCCTGAGTTTGATTCCCATACCAAACAAAACAAACTACACTAATAAAAATAATAAATTCATAAAGGATAAATGCAGACCATCCACCAGACAGAAAGCAAATGTGAAGTGAAAGCCAGGAGGTGAGTGAAGTGATTCCCTTGAAACTAGAAGGCTACTTCTTCTCCAAGAAAAATGGAGAAAAGGTAAAGATGCATACAGATACATAGGTATATAAATACACAGAAAAAAGTCAAGAAAACCAAAGATGGCCATACGCAACAGCTTCCTATTTTCCTTCTGAATGTATAATGACCACATTAGCAAGTCCCCATGTTACCTGGCAAGATGGAGTTAAATACACATAGGACCAGAACACGAGCGCTGAAAGGCTCCTGTTTGATATTCCCAAACAATGGTGCACAAAGCCTTTCAAAGATGTAGTACACATAAAAAAGGCAACCAAAAACCTGCAACATAACAAAAATAATAATGAAAATTTACTAAGTACAGATGGAAGGTGATATTTTTCTTCTGAATGTACATATGTGACCCTAAAATAAATGTTGACACACATTCCATTTCATCCTAGTATATAACATTGTAAATAATCCTTCAGAGGTATTATTCAAACCTAGCTTCTACCATGACTTTTCATATCTCTTTATTAAATTGCATTTTAAAAGATTATTTAAGAACCTATTTTTTTCCTCCTATGTAAGACCTATAAAAGAACTTATGTTACAAATGGATATTTAAAATAAAACTTAAAATAGGATCTTCTGAAATTTACAATTCTGTTAATGTGGCAAGGGAAACATGGAAGATTTTCAGGTACTGAAAAAACCAATAAAATACAACTACACTAATTAATATAATTCTTTTAGTAAAGAAAATTACTTTTGATGTTTTACAAATGGATATTTAAAATAAAACTTAAAATAGGATCTTCTGAAATTTACAATTCTGTTAATGTGGCAAGGGAAACATGGAAGATTTTCAGGTACTGAAAAAACCAATAAAATACAACTACACTAATTAATATAATTCTTTTAGTAAAGAATTTTACTTTTGATGTTGGCAAAACAAACAGCACACATATACTGTCAAAAGACTACACTGCCTCAACACACAGTATTCATGAGTGTCCAGTTCACATGAATTTACCAGTATTTGAAACAGATTCAATTATCATCTGTGTATATATAACTGATGAGGGCTATGACGGGGTCCCCATCTCCCACCAATCAACACACCTGAAGCAGTTAAAAAAATAAATCTAAAAAAGTACCTGTGCAAACTGCATAGCAACATAACGCCATCTTATAGTGGGAGTTCTAAAAAAAAAAAGAGACAAAATTTTTTAAAGTAATCAAACTTAAGTAACAAGTCGCACAACAAATATTTTTCCACACAGAATATCATTTATGGGTTGGGATTATGGCTCAGTAACCTTGGGGGTCGATCCAAAATAATTCAATTACTTAGTTACATCCAGAATGGCTATTTATCAAATTAGAATGCTAGAATGACCATATGAAGCTTATGGCAGAGAGAAAATGAGGACACATGAGTAGACCTACATGAGGTGGCTCCTGCCACCCTTTCTCCCCTCACTCATGCCATAGCTCTGTTTCACACCATAGCTGTACTTCAGAGCAACCATTACCTGGGATAGTTGTCACGGTATATAAGTGTAGGAGCAAACAGGAAGTATAAGTACTGGTTAACCGTGGGTACTGGAACTGCGCCTAGAAAAGAAAAAACAGATCAGAGGCTTTTGATTGCTTCTAGAAAAGGTAAAAGGGGAAAAACAAGGAAGCACAGAACAGGAAAGAACAACATAACCTCTTAGTTCATGTTGTTTACTCTTTTTTTTTTGGCACTTAGTATTGCCAATCTCTCTAAATTATTATTGTGATTGAGTAACTTCTAATGTGTGAAGCAACAATTTGCAAAGAATAAACAAGCAAGGGGTAATAAGTTTAGCAATAGTCAGTGGAAGCTAGGATACAGAAAAGTCAAATGAGAAATTTATAGGTACTAGGACAAAATAGGAATAATCAGAGCTGAATGCAGAAGCACATACCTATAATCCCAGCTACTCAAGATGGCAAAACAGTAAGGCCCCATCATAAAAATATATAAATAAATATTTAAACTTTTCAAAAAAATTTTTAAAAGGCAGGAATACTGGAATAATCAGGAAATAGTAAGATCGTCTTCCAAATCAATATGTATCCCATAGTTGAAATATTCTATCAATAATTCTTTGCAGGCCAGGGATTTAGCTCAGTGGCTCTGCCCCCTGCCTCACAAGCACAAGGACCAGAATTCAACCCCTGGTACCAGAAAAAAAAAAAAAAATCTTTAAATCAAAGAAATTACATACTTGACTTCTCCTTAGCTGCCTTTAGTACCCTTGGCACATTCTCTCTTACAAATGAATAGGCCTTCATTATCAAACGAATCTACAAGAGGAAAAAGAAAAAGATAAACTTTCTCTTATTGACGTCTCTTATAAACAACCTCAGAACAGCACAAGATTATATTTGCACAAAAAGAACTACTTAATTTTACATACAGTACCAACTCAAGTTCACTGTTATAACAACAGTTTCCTGAAATGCTCCTTTCCATTAGTCAAATAGAATGCTACAAACAGATAATATAAATTAGAAAATTCTGAAGGGTATATAAACAAACTTAATTTCTTTGTTGATAATAGTTAAATGGCAATACAAAAAGTCTTAAGACTTCAAAAGTAAATTACAAAAATGTTTTATAATCCAGATGGGCTTTTATAAAAAGTATTAGAAATATTTTTAATTCATCCAGGATAGTTCAATATAATTTACTTCATTCAGAAGACCTACAGAACACTGAAGCTAGAATGAATTTTTAAAGAATGAGATGATCTAATTTAATATTTTAATTCTACAGGTAATGGCACAGACAGCCATATATGAAAATGTATCCAAATTAATTCAGATAAAAATATCCTTATCATTCTTACTATTTTTTTTTCATTATTACTATTTTAACTAAGAGCAAAGTTGTATTGGGTAACACTCAAAAACTATACCTGTTCAGGGCCGGGGATTTACCTCAGTGGTTCTAGCGCCTGCCTTACAAGCACAAGGACCCTAGTTCAATCCCTGATACCAAAAACAAACAAACAAACAAAAAACTATACCTGTTCAAGTATAACAATGAACCGGGAAGCTGGCGGCAGTGCATAGGCCAATACAATATATGTTGGTCCCACACCTAGAATTCCAAGCTGGAAGAATGTGAAGAACAAGCCATAGACAACAGAAGAGATAACTGGATGAGAACTCTTCCTGTAGCCACTGGCCCAACAATGAAATAGGAAATAGGGAACTGAAAGTGTAGTCAAGAACATGGCCCACCATGTCCAAATAACAACAGTAAATTTTCCAAAAGCATAAGACAGGAGATTGAATTCAAGCACCAGCCTAGAAAGAAAAAGCACAGAGAAAAAAACGGAGAAGTAAGTTTTTAAAATGTATTGAATTCATGGAATTTAAAACTTTAGACGCCAATCTATCATCCTTTAGAAATGTAACAGGCCAGGGATTTAGCTCAGTGGTGCCACTGCCTGCCTTGCAGCAGCAAGGTCCTGAGTTTGATCCCCGGTACACACACACACAAAAAGAAATACCACAACATTTAGGAATAAGAATAAAGTAGAAATTAATACTTTAGAAAGAGAAAAATCACAACATTAACACATTGAAGTCATGGATATAATACTTCTGCTAGATAAAGACTTGCTTCTAACCCTCTGCTTTACAGTGTGGCTCAACATTAAATTTCTAAGAGCCCTAATATGGCTCTGAACTTAAATACCTAAGGTAATAAGGTTTTGAACTTTAGAGTCTCACATTAATATTTTTAAAGTCCAAAGCGTTCTATGGCAAAATAAATAGTCAATAACAATCAAAACATAATTTTTCAGGAAGAGACAGGTAAATTCAAAAGCCTATACTAATATAACCATAATTTTGATTTCAAGAAAGCACATATTCAATATATGATTACCACATTGTCATATTTTAAGTTATGATTTATGTTTGTTTGTTTGTTTGTTTTGAGACAGGGTCTCACTATGTAGTTGAGACTTACCTGGAACTCACTATGTAGCCCAGGCTGGTCTCGAACTCACAGCAATCCTCCTGCCTCAGCCTCCTGAGTGCTGGGATTACAGGTGTGCACTACCACACCTGGCTTGATTGATTTTTATAATAAAAAGAAACATCACTTTTTTCTACCTTAAAATTCCAGTAAGCTACTTAAAGTAACAATGTTAAATGAATAGCATAGAAAAAAAGTCAAGTCATATATGCAAAAATTCTCCCATTTTAGACAGTTACCCAGAAACTACTGATCATGTTCTAGCACATTCTGGGGTAGGAGATGTAGCTCAGTTGTATATTGCTTGCCTAGCATGCGAAAGTCCCTGGGTTTAGTCCCTGCATCACCAAAGAAAGTATTTTTTAAATAAAAGTAATGAAGTCTAGCTTTCTCTTTAAACTTTACAGGAGAGAAGAATTTATCACCCTCAAATTAGTCACTTTAGAATTTTCTGAAGCAAATTTAACCAAACTATTCTACCAAAATTTAGTGAAAATTGTCATGCATCAACTAACCAATTATCCCCACTTTGTTGTCTTACCTTCCTTCATCAATGTAATCTACCACAAGTGTACTGAGGATAAAGATAATGAGGATGGCAATAAACATGTGATATATTGTCCTGATGTGGTCCACTTCAAACAGCTCACTGTGAATGCAGTTTAAACAAAATCAAATTAACAATCTATATTTAATTTTAAAACACCACTTGGTACATATTCTTTAAAGGAGATTAAAAGATGCTTAACCCTCCTCAAAAAAAAAAAAATCTCAAAAAAACACAAAAACCAGTAAGCCCAAAATATGAAACCTAAGGTACAAAGGTATTAAAGGACAAGATTACGTTAAAAAAAAAAAAAAAATCACAGTATGCAGATTAACCTTTCTTTCCAACCAAGGTATCCGTACCTTCTAAAAAACAGCACTGATAAATAGCATTCTATAAATAGTCTGCAATCTTGAAAATGCACCAGAAAGTTTTCTACTATGCAAAGACCATTTGCTAAAATTTAGAACACAGAAACTATTTCAAATGCTAAGAAAGGTTTTTTTTTAATCTTATCCTTATTTTCCACTCCCTACACTTAATACACACACACACACACACACACACACACACGTAGTACTATCCATTTCCAGGATATTAAAGTTGTATGTTTGAGTCCTATGTGGATAACTACATATCTACAAAACGGAACCATTTAGAAAAGCTATTACTTTCTCTTCGCTGATTTGTACTTAAGACTGGGCTATTTTTAATTTAAAACACAGCACTGACCTTCTAGAACACTTGTCCTAAATAAATATCTTTTAGATATGATTAAGAGAAGTTTTTAACCTTGTTTTTTGGAAAGTGGTATGCCAAACTTCTAAGTGATTTTTTGGGGAATCTAAAATACTACTAAATTTCTAAAATAAGAATCATCAAATTCTAATAAAAACCCACCAAAGCTACAGAAAATGTGCTCAATTCCCTTCATTAAATTGTTTTTCTTTTTATTAAAAGGTTTATTTTTCCAGGCCAGGGTTCCGTCACCTACTTTACAAGCACAAGGACCTGTGTTCAATCCCCAGTACCAAAAAACAAAACAATAAAATAAAATAAATAAATGGTTTATTTTTCATATAGTGTCATATTTATAATGTTCAAAATAATTGTTTCATTTTTCCTTTTCTTTGAAAAGTCCACATTTCCCCCCAGATATAAATTTTAAAAGATGAATCCCTTCAAACAATACTGTGGCAAAACAGTGAAACAGAACTTCATTGCATGTTAAACTCTAGCTTTCTCAGAGTTAAGAATCACAGTTCAAAAACAAAAGAGAAAACAGGAGCACAGTTCAATTTGGCTCATAAAGTAAAATCTGATAAACATTAAGATGCATTTTTAAGAAAACACATTAAAGACATCATTTTTCACCAAACCAACTATTTCAAAAGATCACTAATGCAGGTTACATTTTAGAACAATTCCAATAAACAACTGAATGAGCAAACAAACTACTCAAAGAAATGCAAAAGTACCCAAATTACAGCTTTGTCGGTTCACAAATACAATTACCACAATGAATTCACATCATGTGAATTTTATTTTAAACATATTAGGCAATCAGGGTTTTACAGTAAGTAACTCTGAGAAATTAGGCTCCCACCAAAAAAGAAAAAGAAAAAGAAAAATATAACTCATGTACTATATTAAGACAGTAACTCCAAAACTCAAAAAAAACTTCTTTTCTCTTTGAGAAAATAATTCTCTGCAACACAACCTTCAGGAATTTCTCAGAGAATGGTAACTGGTCTTATCACTAACTCTTCCTTGGAAACTAGATCAGAACCTGGGAGATGCGTAAACACAAATAGCAAGAAAATGGTGGCACAGCCCATAATCCCTGTACTGGGGGTGGGGTTTCAAGGGCAGGCTGAGGCAAGAGGAAGACCTTTGAGGCCGATATGGCTGTAGAGTGAGCTCAAGGCCAGTGAACTACAAAGCAAGACCTTGTCTCAAAAAAAAGAAAGAAAAGAAGAATCAGGGTTGGGGATTTAGCTCAGTGGTGCCACAACCTGCCTCACAAGAACAAACCTCAGGAGTTTAAGCCCCGGTACCAAAAAATTAAAAAAGCAAAAAGTAGTATCAAAACTAATGATTTATATGGATACAGAAGAAACTCATTAAAGAGTCCTAGATTAAAGCAATGATCCTATGAATCAAATCAGCTTTTTTTACCTTATTCAGATAGATTTTAATGCATCTGCTATAATTTTAATTATTTTATCTTTTTTTCTTTTTATTGGGTTTATTGGTACAATCTAGGTATACAATACAGGTACATTCATTACTGGGATCCTGTACCTTCACATGACAGGTCTTGGTTCCCATTTTTTTCCCCTCGTCCCTGCCCTCCCTTCACCCCCTCCTCCCCTCCCCATTTACAAACACTTTATTTCCATTTTTTCATTTTCTCATATTTTTTCTTTTCCCTTATTCCCTTTCCCCTACCCTTCCCACTTTCCCTACACCTTTAGCTCTTTATTTCACACTATTAATTATCCCATTAGGATCTTGTGTACTATTATAGTTTTTCACACCAGAGAAACTATCCGGTATTTACACGTGTGACTTATTTATTTCACTTAAGAGTATATCCTCAATATGTATCCATTTTCCTATGAATGACTCTACTTTCTCATTCTTTATGGCTGAGTAGTATTCCATTTTATAGAAAAACCACATCTTCTTTATCCAGTTTCCAACAGATGGGCAAATGGGCTGTTTCCAAGTTTTAGCTATTACAAACTAATTCAAACGAATAACAAAAGCAAAAAATACTCACTCCAAGAGAGAGCGTCTTGAAATAAAAATCTTTCCTTGTTCTGGAGGTGCTCTCATATCTCTAGGAAGAGCAACAAAATACAACAAAATATAAGTACTTCAACTATTATAAGAAACATAATTCCACAAAGAAGAAAAAGAATAGTACTGATTCCAACATCTAACTTTAATTAAACATCTTTTCACTGTTTCTCAGGTACTGTATTTGGGTTTTATGTATGTTTATCTCATTTACAGGTGGGAGCCAAAAGGACTTTTAAGCATGTTAAATCACTTGCTCAAGCCCAAAACAGAGAGGCTACAGAGATGGATTTAAACCCAGTCTGACTCGAGTCCAGTGTGTATAACTGAGGCAATGAAGTAGCTATCTAACAGGAGACAAGCAGGGAGCCCTATTTTTGAGTGGTAAGAGAGGGAAAGAAAGCAAACATACCCAGGATAAGGAAGCAGGATACACAGGGAACAAGGAGGAGCCCCATAAAAGTAAAATGCCTCCTTTGTGCAGTGTGACTCTGGAGTACTCAGCTGCTCTGTCCGTGGAGTAGCTATATTTGCTGTCAGTGTTTCTTTCCTATCAAAAACTACACTAGTTTCATACCTGGCCTATGTCTGGTTTCCAACTACATCTCACTAACACCCTATGCTAGCAGGTGACATTTATGAACTGCCGAGGCAGACGCAAGCATACATACCTACACAGGATGGAAAGAGGTCAGACACATCTAACTGCAGCACCACTCGGAAAGTCTCCATACTCAACCCCTAAGGAAAGGCATTCCCTAAACCACTCTTCCTACTCTTGGATATTGGCTGGGGTCATGGAGAACATTCCAGCCATACTGTACTCCAGGCATACATAGTTAAGGGTTTGTCCTCCAAAATGGCACTGATATTTATACTTTTCCTGATGCCAAAGTACTTGCACAACCCCAACAACCTTAAAGGCTGCCTCCAAGAATTAAAGACATATTTTGGTATCTAGCATTACCATCTCCTTTAGGACTGTGTGACACCAGCACTTCTGTCAGCTACTGCTGCTCAAAACTGTTCTTCAGAACAGATGACATTAGCAAAGAGACCACAGGGCATAACATTGAGGACACCCCAGAATGGCAAATTAGCACACATTAGCCTTTGATAGCCCTCCTGTTTTATTCTGGGCTGGCCAATTAGAAAAATACATAATAGAATTAGGCATGGTGGCACATGCCTGTAATCCCAGCACTCCAGGGAGGCTGAGGCAGGAGGATCACTGCAAGTTCAAAATCAGCCAGAGCTACATAGTGAGTTCCAGGTCAGCCTGCACTACATAGTGAAACCTTGTATCAAAGAAGAAAAATATGTAATACATGTACTCTATGTTATTAAAAGTATTCTGTATAGACTACAGATGATAAGAGGGAGTCATACAATGATGCGCAATTAAAAGCAAGGACTTTAGAACCAGACTCTGACTTCAAATCTCTGCATTGTAATCTTGGACAACATTAAAAAGTGCTTTATGCTTCAGTTTAATAATCTGTAATGTGCAGAAAATTATAGCACTTCATAAGGTCATTGTTTCATTTAAATAGTTATTACAAACAAAGCACTTAACAATCATTGCTTTTATTATATTAGCCAGTATTTTTTTCTTTTTTTTTTTGAGACATCTCCTCACTATGTAGTTCAGGCTAGCCTTGAACTCGTGGTGATCCTCCTGCCTCAGCCTCCCAAGTGCTAGGACACTCAGCTGCCAATATTCTTGAGATATGCATGTATGTTATAATCCATATATTAAGAAGAAAAACTCAACCCTTTAAGGATTAAATAACTTTCCCAATTTAACATACAGCCAATAACAAGCATTTACAGGGTATGAACTCAGGCTTTAATGTAGTCTACATTCTGACCCTGGGCTATGCTAGAGTAGATTTTTATATTAAGAGAAAACAACAGACATACTTACTTTGTTCTGTGGTTGTTTTTCATTTCTTCAAGTATGGAAAAAGTTGTAAGAGGACACCCACCATTGTCTAATGAGGCAGATTTTTCAATAAGACTGGTCACAATATCATCAAAGTGACTACCAACTTCCTTCAAAAAAAGTGGCTTCAAATGCTAGAATTTTACAACATGTAAAGGAAAACATAAGGAATGAGCACATACTGTGAATCATTAACATTTATCTAAGGATTTGTCTTAAACAGAATTGGTTTCAAAGAAAGTCACACTAATTCAATGAAATAAAATAGAAAAATAATTTCTATAGCTGATTTGCTTTAGCAATGGCTACCAAAAAAGGAATACAGTGATTTTCTTTAAATAATTTATACCTAAGTATAAATTAAGATACCAAAGAAAATGCATAATGAACTCCTACAAATGATACACAAGATCAAAATGATAAGACTATTTCTCTTCATATTTCTATTTAGAAAAACAAAACATTTTATATTTTATTATATAAGTACCATAATTTTGTCTTTTTTCCTAAAGCAAATCCATGACCTCAAGTATTCATCATTTATTTTAGAACTTTCTTTATTATACCTAAATGTCTACTATGTTTATTCCTACCTCCTTAACTAAGGATATATTTATCTAACTAGTTTTGGCCAGGTGTGGTGGTGCGTGCCTGTACTCTCAGCACTTGAGAGGCTGAGGCAGGAGGATCACTGAGTTCAAGACCAGCCTGGGCTACATAGTGAGTTCCAGGTCAGTCTCAACTACATAGTGAGACCCTGTCTCAAAAAAACAAAACAAACAAACAAAAAAAACCTCTTGTGTTTAAGCCAAACGTGGTGGTGCATGCCTGTAATCCCATCACTTGAAGACTGAGGCAAGAGGATTACCACGAGTTCCAGGCTAGCTTGGGCTACATAATGAGTTTGAGGCCAGCCTAAACTGCATAGTGAGACCATGATTAAAAAAAAAAAAAACACTTATGTTTATATGTGTACATATATGTGTATATATGAACAGATGTTCGCATTTTCATATAAAACTATGAGGAATTTTAGCCACAACAGAGAATAACAACGGAGAGGTAAGTTTGGGGAACATAATAGAGAGGGACTCTGTTCTTTTGAAGAAAGAAGTTTTTATAAAATTAGATTTTTTTTCCACATTAATATTTTAGTTTTTTGTTTCATTTTAATTATACGCCCATCTTCATTTTGAAATCTTTTAATAGGAAGTATCCCAAACCACTACCAAAGTGACATAAAGAAAAAAAGGTTCTTTTTTCATTCATTTTATCTCTGCAATTAGACTAATTAATAAAAAAAGGGTTTGTTCCATGCAGAAATATACTAAAAAAGAAGGGAAAGGATTTCCTCATTCTACTCAGGGCTAGGCCCAGTTCTGGGCACCATCTTAGATGCTGGACATACAACAACACACCAAGCCAGACCCTTTCCTGGAGGATATATATATTACGCCACTTAGTCCCACAGAAAGAAAGAAGTGGGGATGGGGCGTATTATTTTTCAGAGGCCAGGGTCGGCAGGGGTGTGAGAAATGACATTTGAAGAAGAGGGCAAGCTGGTAGATAGATGAGTAAAGTACCAGAAGGGGAAGAATGTAAAAAGTCTCTGAGGCAGGAATACCCTTGGCAAATTACAGAAAGAGCAAGGATAGAGGATACGCGGTTAAAGCAAGCATAAATTGGGGCCAGGATTCAGCGCAGTGCTTCTGCCTGCCTCACAAGCACAAGGTCCCAGTTCGATCCCCAGTACCAAAAAAATAATAGTAAGAAGAAGAGTTGAGGTCGGAAAACAGGAAGCAGAAGGGAGGGAGGCTAAACCACATAAGGTCTCAGGACTCTGAGCTGTGCTCATGTCTCAGATGCTCTACATTTTACTCAATTTAAAAATAGAAGCCTGGAATCTTGAGATGTGGCAAAGGTATTCAAGCTGTTTCTTTTCTTCACACTCCGGCACCAGTCCATTCCCAAGTAAGAATTGGGTTAGAATGTTGGAATTCTGCTCAATAAATCATTTATTAGGCCAATGTGACCAATATCACACTCATAAAATTATTTTCATACAAAACAGTGCACAATAATACAGCTAAATTAATGAACTATAAACAAGGCTTTAACACAAAGCCAACAAGTGATCTGAAAAGAAGTGCCAAAATAGTAAGAGTTCCAACATTCATAACCCTATTTAGAAAACAGCACTTTTGAGAATGATAAAAATAGAATTTCACCTCTATAAAAAAAAAAGAATTGGGTTAAATGCATGAGAAGCATGAAAAATATATAATGAAAGTTATACAAATACCAGTAAAGCTGCTGAAATTATGTCCTAATATACCCTACTTAAACTGAATAGTCACATTTTCGTGGCACAAGCTCTTATGCCTTGTATTACTTGGCCACAGACAAACATATAGCCTTCTGTATCTAACAAAGAAGAAAGACATTAAATAAATTACCAATGGTACAATAAATCCCACAAAAGGTTAATTCAGATGATAGAACAAAGAGACAGGATGGCCGGGCATAGTGGCCCACGCCTATAATCCCAGCACTCGGGAGGCTGAGGCAGGAGGATCACTGTGAGTTCGAGACCAGCCTGGCCTACACAGTGAGTTCCAGGTCAGTCGCAACTACATAGTGAGACCCTGTCTCAAAAAACAAAACAAAAAAAGAGAAACAGGATGTAAAAGAGAAAAAAACCATAGATATATTGCAATAGTATAAGGGCCAATACAAAGTGTTTTCAAGCATCCTTGAACATTTCTTTTGTACCCATAGGACCCCAGCAGAACATTGCTTGGTATCCTGAGTTTATAAGGTTACTACTCTTTTTTTTCTTGGTTTGTTATTTGTTTATTTGTCTTGAGACGGGGTCTCACTGTGTAGTTCAGGCTGGCCTTGGACACAGTATGTAGCCCAGGCTGACCTTGAACTCTCCCTCCTGCCTCAGCCTCTCAAGTGCTGGGATTACAGGTGTGAGCAGCCATGCCCAGCAAGGTTCCTATTCTAATGAGATTAATTCATATCTTTTTTTTCCTGCAGCAAAATTTATATGTGGGTAGATCAACAATCCAAGGTAACTATTTAAATCTGCCACATTCCTGTATAATAATAAGATCCCTAAAATGTTGGTTTCTTGGTGCCTTTCTCCACTTTTTCTGAGGAATTAGTTTATCAAAGCTGTTGCTACTGGACACCAGGAAAACCTGCTATTGTTAAAGTCATTAAATTTCTTTATACTCTTCTTTTCACAGATCCTAGTAGTGATGACAACAAAGAGTAACTGCTTATTGACATATGCTTGTAATCAGTTCCAGCTTCTCAAGAGGCTGAGGTAAGAGAGGACTGAAGGTTCCAGAACAGTGTGAAAATTTATTAGGAACCTGTCTCAAAGTAACATTTCTAAAAAGGCCTGGGGGTGTAGCTCAATGCCATTGTACTTGCCTAGCATGTGTGAAGCTCTGGGTTCAAACCCCAGTAAAAGGAGGAGGGTGATGACTGCTTATTACTATCACTTCTTTGAGGACTACAGAAAAATACAATCCAAGCAGTCCACTTCTGCCTTTTCTCAAGTTCTTCTATTGTAAGTAGCTGTTGTCAATGAGAACATCAAAAATGTGATCATAGTAAATCTAAGTAATATTTAACACAAGTAGTCTGAAAAGGATGTTGAGGTTACAGGCTTCTGATTTCCTCTCAACTTCATAACATATATATATATTAATATTAATTTCATTAATATGGTCAACAGACCATGGTATTCCCACCACGATGGATGGATGGGAGGAGAAAGGGAAAGGAAGGAATAAAGAAGGAAGAGAAGGAGGAAGGAATGAAGGAAGGAGTTAACTAGAAGCTAGAAAGAAAAGGTGCTTAGATAATCTACTAAAGAGAATTACTATATTTTAGAGCTCAAATAAATTTTATTTTAAAAAAGCAGCTGAATTAGATAACCTTTAAGGTTCAATGAGAATGTTTCTTAGATCAGAAACAGGACTGAAAAACCAAGCAGTCTACATCATGATGGAACTATGCTATTGTTAAGAATTTCTAATGTTATCCTGAGGACAAGTGGAAGTCAATGACCTTTTAAGCACAAGATTTATAAACACATTTGCATCTACAATTTAGAAAGATAATCTTTTTTTTTTTTTTCAATCAGCATCAGGGCAACATCAGAGCATGAGAGTTGGAGCTGTACCTACACAGCTCAAGAGCTGCATGTCTTTACTCCTTCATAAAAACAGTAATTAAAAGGGTTATAATGTCCTCTAATTCACAACAGTAATAGTCTTATCTTACTGAGACATAGTGAGACTAAACGCCTGCTGCATGACTTTGTCCATACTGCACATGCATGTTTATGTCATTCTTAGATAACTGTGGCCCATTATGTGCATGACCCTGAGAGTGAAGTCATGTCTGTAAGTGTCCTCAGACACCCTCAGATGCCCAAGCTTTGAGCATAGGCAGAAGTGGTACCCCACATCTCATCCCCTCAAGGACATATATAATCACATTATTGTTGTCATAATGCAGCTTGTAGCCATCCACTGCGAGGTGGATTTCAAAGATTTTTATCAATGAATATAAATAATCAAGTAACATCAGATCTATTTGTTTTCTTTTTTTTTTTTTTCAGCTTTAATTGAGTTTATTGGTACATTTTAGGGATACAGTACAGTTACATTCATTGTTGGGATCTTGTACCTCTACATGACAAGTCTTGATTCTCATTTTTTCCCCTTACCTCTGCCCTCCCTTCACCCCCTCCTCCCCTCCCCATCTACAAACACTTTATTTTCATCTTTTCATTCTCTCACATTTTTTTCTTTTCCCTTTTTACTCTTCCCCTACCCATCCTACCTTCCCTACACCTTTAGCTCCTTTCTTCCCATTTCTCAATGTCAGTAATCTTATTAGAATCTTATGCATTGTTGCAGATTATTTATACCAGGGAAACTATTCGGTATTTACACATGTGTGACTTATTTATTTCACTTAGGAGTATATCTTCAATATGTATCCATTTTCCTATGAATGAATCTATTTTCTCGTTCTTTATGGCTGAGTAATATTCCATTTTATAGAAAAACCACAACTTCTTTATCCAGTTTCCAACGGATGGGCAAAT